CTCTGGTAGAGGACCCGAGATTGAGGAAGACACATACTACCCATAGGGGTGAGAGGGGAATTTTTTTTTTTTTAATATAGTGTAGGAACCAGTATTCTTGGAACGTAAGTCATGACCTGCCTCTCCTTTCCTTATGTCAGTTTTTCAAAAGAGTCATATAAGTTGGGTACAGCTTCCACTGATATTGTTGCAAGCAGTGAGTGGCTTGAGGGGCCATGCTTTGAGTGCAGAATTCTGCATTTACTTGATTGATTGATTGATTTGGATTTATCCCTGTGTAATCAAAGATGTTCTTGGCAGTTTACAACATCCATCAATACAAATGATTAACATCCACTGTACAAATCATAAAACAAAATAATATAATAAAAGAAATCTAACATACACAGTGCTGTAACAGCTAATGTCAGCTCATATATCAAAGGCTTTCTGAAAATGATTCATTTTTAATAGGTTACATAAATCGAACAACATATGGCAGATTGAATTCCTAAGGGAAAGCTATCCTAAACTGCAGGTGGCCCTAGCGAAAAACAGTGTCTGACCTGCCTCACCAAGTGAAGGACCACTGGGCTTCTCTCCAGGATGAACCCATTCTGACTTTTGAGTGTACTTTGATTTCTTTAGAATCATTATTGGAAATAGTCACTGATCCTGGCTTTTGTTGAGTGATACGATGGGGAAAAACTATTGTGGATATCAAATCACGACTATTCTCCCTCCCTTTTTTATTTACCTACATAGTATGCTAAGAGTAAAATTCATTTGCAGAAACTGGTCTGTCTCGATCACAAGCAAATTTAGGTTTGCCAATATGTATTTATTCAACAGTGAGCCGTAATAAGTCTCTGTTCTAATAAATGCATATAAGTCATACATGTTGTTTGTATTTGCAGTTTATTTTAGATGTACCCCTTAAAGTCATATAATGTGAAAAGAGTTGTATTTAGTCTTTGCTCTCTCATGTACAGCTGTCCAATTCTCTTGAAATTCAGCTAACATATTTTCAAACTTTTCATTTTTTTTAATATGTACCCTTAAAAACATATTGGTTGTAGAACTAGAAACAATGGCCAAATTTAACAAACCAGGATAGAATATTTCAGGTTTTTATTGTTTCAGAAAGCCACAATTCACCATTTTGTCCAGGATAGGAAATTTTGGTGAGATTAAAATCAGTTTCAGAAATCAAGACATAACTTTTAAAATATTTTGGTTCGTTTAAAATTAAAGAAACTGTGGTTACTTATAATTTACTGGTTTGATTGCTTATACTATAAAGGAAGAATTTTAGCTTAAGTTATTACTATGGTCAGAAGTCTAGCATACAAAACATTGAGAAAAACAGATAAATGTACAGAATAAGTGAGGAATTTATGTGCTCTCTTGCCTTGGGTTTATTTATCTGAGATATATTTCCTCAATCTGTCACAGCGTATGAAAATATATCCAACTGATGAGAAGGCACATTTTTTATGTGTAATCTGTAATATCAGTAGCTCTTCTCTATATGTACTCATGGAAATTAGTTTTAAACTGCTGCTGCTGTTATGTTTTTGAGGTGTTTTCTAAATAGCTTTCATTGTTCTGTTAGTCTTCCAGATAAAGTAAAATCACCAAGAACTACAAGCTCTCCTCAGTCTCCAAACATACAGAAAAAAATTGATCCTGTAGCAAATACAGTAGAAAAAAATAGGTCTTTAAATTCTTCAAGAACAGTAGCTTCTGGATCTAAGCTGAATCCTGCCTTCTCTGACTTAAATATTGGGATCAACAGGACTGGAGCCAACAATCTGAATGGTGAGCTGGCAAAGAATGAAAAAATGTGTAGACATTTGATATATTTTATATAGCATGATTTAGCATATACATATAGGTGTTCGATAATATGTGTACTGATTTTGTAGGCTCCATGCGCTTCTCACCTGCTGGTCTCCAGCATCGTATGTCTGCAGAACTTAATTATCTAAGCACCATTGAAGAGTCGGTACACCAAATCTCTGATATAGAACGTGTACGGGGGGTATCACTTGCGCAGCAGGAAAGTGTTTCTCTGGCTCTAATATTGAAGGTAAGATTAATGAATCTAAAGTACCTTAGACCACCTAGGTATCTATTTTCAGTTTTTTATCTCCTGAAAACTTCAGTTCTCAAATCTTTCACTCCATGCACAAAAAGTTTCTAGTAATAATTTTAAAAGTAACCAGAAGTTCTTATTTCTGCTTTTATTGGTTTTGGGGCTCACTCTAAAATATCTCTGCAGACTTAGAAGACTTATGGTAGGGCTCAGAGAATTCTTTTTGGGTGGTAGCTGAAATAGATATTGGCACTTTCCAATTAAAGCAACAAAAATAGTGGGTTCTTTATCCCAGTAATTGTGTAATTTTGAAATCTAATTTTCCTAAAAAGATGATAGCTACAATTTTCAAAAAGGCCTGGCATTCTACTTAAAAAATCAAATATTGATTACATTATGTGATCTAGGAATGGGGTTGTTGTTTTATCCTTGGGTGCCAAGGGTTGAATGCTGTGTTTTTTGCATGTTAATCCTTGTATACCACCCAGAGTCACTGTTGTGAGATGGGCAGCCATATAAATCTATTTTAATTAATTAATCTGGACAAAGGTTATAGACTATGAAGTAGGTACTAAAATGTATTAAATTAGGAGCAGGTGCTGAAATATTACAGAAATATTTATAATTATTATAATATAATTATATTACTGAAGTATTACAGCTAATTATTAATTAAAACCATTTAGAATGTTAATGAGTTATTACTGTTCTTAAATGATGGAAAATTGTATAAACCTTTTGCGTAATTCTACAGAAAGGAAGAATGTAAGTGAATAAGCAATAACTAAATTTTCATCTGTAGACTCAGCAGCAAAGACATGAGAGGGACTTGGCTCTTCTAAAGCTCAAGGTAGAACAAGAGGTTTTGGAAAATCAAAGGAATCTGGAAGAGGCAAGACAAAAAGCAGCTCAGGTAATGTAGCATTTCAAACAGCACGAAAGATACAAAAGTAGAATCTTTTTCCATAGGGAAATTGCTGCCCATGGCAATGGCAATGGCAATGGATGGTTGTTCCAAGTGATAGGCAATATATTGATAAATTGGAAGATTGTATGTTGGTGATGCAAGGCATTAGTGATTAGAAAAAGCATTTCTTCACAAAGCAATATATTTTCCCACATAGTTCTCTAAATTATTAGAAGTAATTTTAACTTAATATGCGTGACCAAGTCATTCATGTCAGAATTTCAACACTCAGCCCACTCAGAAGGAAGATAATATTGAATGAGATGGGGTTGTTTGACTAGGAGTTGATGGCCAGCCTGGTCTACTCTACTCCCTTGGCTCTACTCCCCCCTTCAAGAATCAGGGTTGCAACTTGATAATTTTAATAGAACCAGCATGATCATGGGAGACCCAGCTGTCATGGATGCAGTGCCTTCTACTGTTTCAGCATTTTTTTAACACATGTAATTCCTGGACCCAGAAAGCCTGGTCACAATTACTTGTGTGATAGAGGCCTCCAAATTAAATTATTGCAATGTTTTATATGAAAGCTATTTGGGAATTTCTGCAAATCCAGAATGCTGGTTGCCTTTCTATTTCTGATTGCAGCCTAAGATTAGATTATTTCTTTTTAAACCACCTACCAGCTTGGAACTAATATACTTAAAGAATAGCCTCCTTCCATGTGAGAATTGATGTCCTTCATTATAAAACTGTGATTGAAAATTACATTGCCTATCAGTAACATGAAATAAGTGTTGTTGCTGTTGTTAGGCTATAGAATCCTCTCCTAATGCTAAAGGGATGAATTTCATGTTCAGGTTATTTGGGTCAAGGCACAGTTGCACTCTTAGTGAAAGTAAATAGATTTTAAAAGCAAACTTGTATCACCATGTATAGGCCGATGCAGAATCATTACATCATTTGGCACAATCACAGCAGGAGGTAGCTGAGGCTCTACAGGGGACCGCATCTAAGATTGCAACTCATCAGCTGGAGACAGCTCTGCTGACTACAGATGCTGCTCGTCAGATACGTGAAGTGAGTTATTTGCTGTGCATCTTTATACCTTAACCCATAAGAAGTTTATTGATGCATTTGAAACCTGTATTTTGCTGTACTCTTTATTAGGTGACGGAACTTGCACGTTTCCAAATCTCTGATGCAATTGGTACTACTGCAGCTCCAATTACTAAATTATTTGACCAAGAAAGGAAGCACCATTCGCCATTCATAAAGCAATTAAAGCTTCACAATATGAACAGGTATTTTATATAAAAAATTAATTTTGGCCTGTAATTTTTTAATGAAGATACTTCAATAAGGAAAGTTAATCAAAGCATCTGTAAATAATAATTTACTTGATAATTCCATTGACTGACTTACTGTAGACCTGTAGGAAGACCTCAATCATAGAACGTTGCCACCTCATTTTGCAATCTTGTTTTCATCACTTTGTCTCAAGCTCTGTAGGGGAGGGATAACTATAGATGAAGTTTTGTCAGTATGTTTGCTGTACTGAAGCACAGTTTGATATATAGGGGCATGCTTGCCTCTCTCCATCTCTCTCTCTCTCTCTCTCTCCTGAAAGTGCTGGTTTTGGAAGGAGAAGTCTTTTAGTTTTGCCAGCAAGTTCAGAGCCAGTTTCACAGGCTCTCTGGCATGAAAGTTCCTTCTCCTATCAAGTATTTCATCTATTGTGAGAAAGAAGCAGCACAGCAGCATGTGCTGAGAGCTTTGCTACTTCAGGTATCCTCCCTTGTTCTCCTATACTTGATAGAAAGAGGAATATTAAAAGCTGCTTCTTGTACAGATATATGTCATTGGACGTTACCATTTATTTCACTTTAGTACATTGCCTTTGAGGTTTTTTCTCCTCCAGCTATTTGTCAGTCAATTGCAGACATTGCTATGATTTTCAAAATAATTCAAGCTTGCCTGTTTTCTTTAATAGGAAAGCAGATTCAGTCATCACCCCACCAGGTAAAGAGGAGACAAGTGACTCAAAGCATCATTATTTGCATACGTTTGATAGTTATTCAGAATCATCAGGATCAAAGGCACGTGAACAGAGGTGAGACACAAGATTTATAGTCACTATATCAATTATAAATTCATCAAAGTAAGACTGTTGGCTTTACTTAATGAAGGAAACGATGGCTAGGTTTTGGGTTTTCTTTATCTCAAATAGTATTTTCAGTAACCTGTCTTTCTTACCTTTTGTGAATTCAAAACTAGCTTAAAGTATTCTTAAACCAGTTGCTATATTTATAAATAATAATAGTAATAACAATTCACTAGATTTCTGGGCTGCCAAATCAAAAGATTTGAGGCACTATACAAGTTAAAAAAACATAATATATAACCAAAAATACAAATACTAGCTAATTGAGGGGAATATGCAAACAAGAACACTCTAAGTTCCTGTGGTCAATCAAGCAGGATCACAAAACATCCCAGCTTTTGGCCTGTTTAAGAAACCAAGTTTCTGAAGAGTAGTATGTGGAATTTTTTGAATATGAAATTTTGGGTTTGAAACACCCTATTTCCGAATTTGGAACAGTTATTCTGACCTTGCAGGAAACATTCCAGCTGGTCTGAGCTTGAACTGGACCCATTACAAACTTTTGACATTTGTTTTGAGTTAAGAATGGGTCTGTTTGAATGTGGAACACTTCCAGAATAGTAGAACAGCATAAGAATCATTCTAGTAAGGTTGGAGTAATTTGTATCAAGCTTGAAATAGTGGTTTCAGATTCTAAATTATTACAGTACGCCTGTAATAAAGAGACAGACTTCAAATTATTCCTTTAGCCAGGCAAATTATTTTTAAAAGGGAGAGGGCTAAAATAAACAGATTGCATTCTTAACAGAAGGCGTCAATTTGTTGCTAAAGCTTGGTGTAGAAGTTTGAAACTACTCTCTCCTGAGCTTTTAGGCCTAACAGATTTTTTTAATGTCTACATGAAGCTTAAGTTGGTGATGACTTGTAAGCAAATTGAAGGTTCTTGTTTTGCAGATTGCAGAATGAGTCAATTTTGCATGGTGAGGTTTACAAGGTTAATGAGATAATTTGAGGAGGGTAATCTTGAAAATGAGAGAGAGTTCTGGATTCCTAGTACAGTTCTGTGGCTCTACATGCTCTCCCCAGCTTAAATTAATCTTTTTGGACAAATACTTCTTTTTAAGAAAGACAAATACTGGTTTGGTTTCTCCCCTGTCATGGTCAAATCACTCCCTGATGAGCCTCCAGTTCTCTAGCGCCACCCCCTCCACAGGGAAACTGGCCCTATTAGATTGGCCTGCCCCAGGTGACTGATGGACATTATTGGGTTTCAGAGGGAGCTTGGGGTTGTTCCGGAAAGTCTGCTACATGGTCCGACCGAAGCCATCGTGTTCACCTGGAATGGGAGAGCAGCCATGGCTTTGGACTGGATCTCACCTGAGCAGCCTCCCTGTACCCATGGTTCCCGGAACTCCCTGTGGTGTTTGGAAGAGCTGAGGGAACTAAAGAGGGTTAAGAGATGCCTAGAGCGCCGCTGGTGAACGATGAGGCACAAAGATGATCAAACACGAGCCAGAGACGCTGTTAGAGTTTACCTAGTGATGGTAAGGGCAGCAAAACATGATTATTTCTCTGCCCTTATTGTGTCTGCAGATAGCTGCCCAGCAATTCTATTTTGGGTGACCCAGTCCCTCCTTGGAGGGAGTAATATTGGGATTCACCTATAGGGTCCTTGTGAGACATATGCTGTGGATCTAGCAGATAGTCACTTGTATCCGCTCTACGTTGGACTCCGGCTTTAAGGCAGAACCAGCAGAGGGTATGGGAGCTATGTCCTGCATGGTTATCTGGGGGGAGTTCAATCCTGTTGCACCTGAGGAAGTGGACAAGGCTCTTGCAGCTGCTAGTTCAGCCACTTCTGTGTTAGATCCGTGCCCTTGCTGGCTGGTTAAGGCTGCCTAAGAGGGGATACGTGGTTGGGTCTGGGTGGTGATTAATTCTTCCTTGACGGAGGGGGTGGTTCCACCAGCTCTTAAGGAGATGGTGGTGTGCCCTCTCCTCAAGGGGCCATTGCTCAGCCCAACCAGTCTGGACAGTTTTTGTCCAGTCTCCAATCTCCCCTTTTTAGGGAAAGTTGTGGAGAAAGTGGTCATGTGGCAGCTTCAAAGGACCCTGGATGAAGCGGATTATCTGGACCCCTTTCAGTCAGGGTTGAGTCCAGGCTGTGGGACTGAGGTGGCATTGATTGTACTCTTAGATGACCTCTGGCAGTACATCCATCCTTGCTCTTCTTGACCTCTTAGTGGCTTTTGATAATATTGATCATAATATTCTTCTGGACCAGTTTTGGGAATTGGAGGTGGGTGGAACTGTGTTGCGCTAGTTCTCCTTCTTCCTCTGGGGTTTGTTCCAGTTGATGTTGATGGGGGGGAAGAGAGATCCAGCCCACGGCCCCTACTTTGTGGTGTACCCTAGGGCTTGGTTCTTTCTCCTCTCCTATTTAACATCTACATGAGGCTGCTGGGTGAGGTGATCATCAATATGCTGATGATACCCAGTTTTATATCTCCACCTCAGGCTGCCTAAGTGATGCTGTGGATATCCTGTCCCAGTGCTTGGAGGCTGTAGGGCCATGGATGGGGCGCAATGGGCTTTGACTCAACCCAAGCAAGACTGAGTGGCTTTGGGTATTTGGGCCTTCCAATGACAAGATTTTTCCATCTTTGGTCCTGAATGGCATTGCCCCAGATGGACTTGGTGCACAATCTGGGGGTCCTCTTGGACTCACAGCTCCTGTTTAGAAGAGCAGGTGGCAGCTGTGGCTAGGAGGGCCTTTGCACACCTTCAGGTTGTGCACCAGCTGCGCCCATTCCTGAACCCGGAGGCTTTGCTCACAGTCACTCATGCCTTCATGACCTCTCATCTGGATTACTGCAGCACATTCTACATGGGGGTGCCCTTGAATAGCATTCAGAAGCTTCAACAAGTGCAGAATGTGGTTGCATAGGTAGCAAATGATATTGGATATGCAACACATGTAATACCACTGCTCTGTGAGCTACATTGGTTGCCCATGTGTTTCTTGGCACAATTCAAGGTGCTGGTTATTACCTTTAAAGTCCTTTATGGCTTGAGGCTGGGTTACTTGAGGAACCATCTTTTCCCAGTTGTTTCTACTTGTCTAATTTGGTTAGCAGGTTGGGCATGTTACGGGCCCCGTCAGCCAAGGAATGTCATCTGGCAGGGACTAGGAGACATTCCTTCTCTGCTGTAGCCCCTGCCCTCTGGAACATTCTCCCTTCAGAGATTAGGATGATCCTGTGTTAAGGGCCCCATTTCCTGGCTATATTGACATCTATGATGATAATTTTATTTGGCAACCATATGTATTTATTTTGTATTGGCTGCAACTGTTTTTAATTGTTTTATGTTTTTACGATTGTTCGCCACCCAGAGTCACTTGCTGAGATGGGTGGCTATAGAAATCGGATAGATAGACAGACAGACAGACCAATTTGCACTTCTGGGAGATGGGTTATTGTTGCTACTTGCACCCCCTACAGGAGCTGTTTTGCAAATAGGGTTCCTTACATAGAAGACATGGACATTTTTTCAAAATTCCTAATATACTTACAAGCCCCAAAAGGAGGGAGACTCCTAATTGTGATTTTTTGGGCATAAAGTATCAGGAGCAAATGGAAAATATGCGAGAACAAAACTGTGTGCTTGAGGAACTCTTTGTTTCTCAATGGACTGTATAACTAAGCATTCTTCTACATGTGGTATTTCTTCTGAAAATAGTTTGAGGCACCAAAGTGAGCATATCCCACCAGCTCTGTTATAGCTGGCACTCCAGGACTGAAAACATTTGCCATCACAACCCAACATTTTGTAGGGTTATCAGAGTTCCTGTTTCAGCTGCCCAAGTGTAAAAATGTTGGGGCACTGGATTTTTAAAAGATTTACTTTTAATTTTAAACTCCATGACATGAAAGTGAACTCCTAAGGGAGAAGAGTATACAGAGTACAGAATGCAAGTGCTTATTTCTTGAATTCATTATTCTGAGTGTTACATCAGGTAGATGATTATGGTATTAATTCAAGACTCATTTATGTCTTTTTATAACGCAGTAGTAGCAGCAGTCCTCAAGAAAGTCCATCTTCCAAGGAGACCAAGAAACGTTCTCATCATGAAAAGCCAAGCAGCTCCATCGAGGAGGAAGTACCCATGGCAGTGAATAATTCACTGCAGAATAACAGTATCCCATCCATTCCTGATGAGAGAGGTTAGTTCTCAGATGAGTATTTAAGCGAAGTAATGCTCATTTCAATTTTTGTCCCATAATTATTTGTGTTTTTCCCACTGCTATGTCAGTAGTTTTGCTGATGGGGTTACATGGAAATAATACAAAAATAATTCACTATCCATTCCTGGCCATCCTGCTTTCTTTATATGCTTGCTTCTGAGTAACCACCCATTTTTGCTCTGGGGAACTTGCAGCCTGATATTTAACAGTATTGCTACCAGATTCTCTCTGGCTTGCTGTTGCTTCCATCCTCCTTATTCTTGGAACCACTGGTTGGATAACTGTTCCTTTTCTTGTTGTTCTAGTCATCATTTTTAAGAAAAAATGGTAGACTTAATATCTACAAGTTTGCATACACGTTTTATTTACATATGGGTGCTGTAGAACAAACGTTCAGAATTCTTTCTCTCGCTTTCTCTAGTATTTCCAAAAACTGGAACTTTTCAGGTGGGATGGGGAGGGATGTACATTACAATAACTGGAGGCTTAGTTCTCAGTAGGTTCCAGTAAGAGCTGTTATTGGGGAAAAGGTAAATTTATTTCCCTACCCCAAGAAACATAGTCTGACAGACGACAAGGTTAGTTCCCAGCCTGATTTTTTCTGGCATCCCTTCTAAGAAGAAAAAGTATTGCATTTGGGAAATAGTTTTCCTAACATTGAATGTTCTGACGCCCTCTGGCAGAACATTTATATATTTATGTACTAGAGTTGTATAATCCTTTGGGGGACAATGTTTCAGAATGTAAATGTGTGTACAAAACATCTTTTTTTGAATTGTTAAAACAGCTACAACTTTTTCCTGGTCTGTCCAGCTGCTTTGAAAGTTGTCCCAATGTCTGCAAATGCTTCTGTAGGCACAGGCAATGTGCATGCAGAGACAACTGGGAGCAGCTGCTAGAGAAGCTGCATGAGGCAGGAGATATTTGCAGCAGCTTTAATGGTTTGAAAAGAGCTACTACAGGTAGTCCTCAGGTTACGACCACTTCAGTGACCATTCAAAGTTACGATCGTGCTGAACAAGGGGGACTTATGACCAGTCCTTAGAGTTCCGGCCGTTGCAGTGTCCTCGTGGTCACGTGATTGCAGTCTGGGCCCTCGGGTGCCCAGCTTGCGATTATGGTGTCGCAATAAGCAGTGCTCACATGATCGCCAAGCAAAGTCAATGGGGAAGCCAGCAGGGAAAGTCGCAAATCACTCCCATAAGTCACTCCTGATGCTTTTTCTCCCGAGGAGCCCCGCTATGGCATATGAGATACTCGTAGCATTTCCCTGCCCGCACACTGCAGTGGCCCCTGCTGGCCCGCCCACGTTCCATAGCACCCGGCAACAGCCTCCACCGGCCTGCCAGCCCATGCTCAGTAGTGCCCACCCACTGGCTCCCCGTGGCTCCCACTGGCCCACCTGCGCTCAGTAGCAACTGCCCACAGTTTTTGCCCATCAGCCAGCTTGCCTAGGACTCTGGTCATGTGAGGTCCTCTTTTAACAACCCGCACAGTCTCTGGGTTACGATGGCAACCAGGTCTGCCAGGATTGCCATTGCTAAGCGATGTGATCACATGACATCACACTTTACGACTGCATCACTTGGTGATGGAAACTCGAGTCCCAATTAGGGTCATAACCTGAGGACTACCTGTATGTACGTGTTCTTGCACCTTCCCAAAATATCTCTATCAGAGGGTTTACACAGCTCTATTATTATTTTCATAGTAAAGTCAGAAATTTTGATAGTTACACACATCTTTATTTCTGGCCATTCAGTCAGTATTTGTTCATTCTATTTTTGCAACATAATCTTATTTCATAGCATTTTCTTTTCTGTAATGAATTCCACATTGAATTATTTTTCCTCTTCCTGTATTGTGTCTTTTCAGATTCTACCTCTATTGCAACAGAATATTCCCTGAAATTTGATGAATCCATGACAGAAGGTGACATTGAAGAACAATCATTCCGGTCTTTGTTGCCTTCTGAGAGCCACCGCCGGATCAATTTGAAGAAACGAGATCACCAGGTTTATTCTGATGAGGAAGCTTCTCCTGGAAAGCCTACCCTGTCACCTATTAAGGCAAGCTTTCAGTATTCTATAGCTGTTCATTTTTTGGAAACTTAGAATTCACATTGGCCTTTTTTTCCCATTCCCATGGTGATGTCTTTCTTTTTTATAAAAATAGATATATGCATTGTATAGTCATGTTACAAAGCAAGCTACAGTACTGTGCAAAAGTTTTAGG